AATACCTAGAACAGTGATGCGGAACTCAGGGTCTTGATACAGTGTGTCTATTAATCCTAACACTTTGAGTAAGTATTGATGCTGATGCATAATGACATCACCAAGTAAATTACCATAGGTAGGCCGAATGTCAGCTCCCATCAAAGTCTTTAGAGGCGCTATAGCAAGAATCAAACAGATACCGTCCCAGCTCGGAGGAAAGCGTATGTTTGAGAGTGAACGAGTATGATTGGCAGTGTTTGATGAATTCTTGATTTCTGCAAAAGTTGGGGGAACTTGCTCTCGAAATCATTGATCATGACATCACTGACCTAGAACATCACCTTTATTTCTCATTGATTTTGGACTTGATAGTAGCTTTAATGGTAACCTAAAATAAGTATTTTATAACTTGCATCAGAAGCTTCTATATGTATCGTAATCCAAAATCAAAGAACAATGTAGCACAGATTAAAAATGCTACTCATAACTACTGCGTTTAATATTTGTTCAGAGCGCGTGATTTTAAACATGCTATTGAATCACACTGTGATTATTTGCCATCGTAATTCTAATTTGCCTCTTCATTATTACAACTAAAACAAATAAACGCTAGGAAGTTAATTAAAGCCAACAGCAAGTTGCATGTTCTCATCATCCGTCAGTTATTCTCAAATGCACTGAACATTTTAAAGGAAGCATGTGCTAATACAATTAATTGCTGTAACAGTAATTTATTAATCAATAACGAGTTGTTGATAAATTTCATAATTATGCATGTCTACTTACAAACTAGAACTGTTCTTAAAACTTGCATTTTTTTTTACAAATAAAATTTTTAATGTATTTCTAGACCATCTCTTTGAAATAGTGGAGTTTTACATTGCTGTTTTGAAGAAGTGCCTCTAGCAGGGGTGCCCAAAAGATAGATACTCAGATGTTCCAGAACCACAACTGCCATGATGCTTTGTATGTCTTTGCATGTCTTTAGAATGACAACGCATCGTGGTAGTTGTAGTTTTAAAACATCTGGGGATCTATCTTTTGGGCACTCTTCCTCTAGTGTCTGTCAACATGAATTAAAGGACCACTATAGGCACCCAGACCACTTCAGCTTAATGAAGTGGTCTGGGTGCCTGGTCCAGCTATGATTAATCCTTTTTTCTATAAACATAGCAGTTTCAGAGAAACTGCTATGTTTATATTAGGGTTAATCCAGCCTCTAGTGGCTGTCTCATTGATAGCCGCTAGAGGCGCTTCCGCACTTCTCACTGTGAAAATTTTGAATGCTTTCCTATGAGACTGGCTGAATGCGCGCGCGACTCTTGCTGAGCATTCGCATTCAGCCGAGGAGGAGAAGAAGAGGCGGAGAGGAGGAGGAGAGCTCCCCGCCCGGCGCTGGAGAAAGAGGTAAGTTTAACCCCTTCCTCCCCCTAGAGCCCGGTGGGAGGGGGACCCTGAGCGTGGGGGCACCCTCAGGTGGGGCACCCTCAGGGCACTATAGTGCCAGGAAAACAAGTATGTTTTCCTGGCACTATAGTGGTCCTGTTAAATAAAATGTGCATTATGATACTTTTTAATCTATCCATGAATTTTTACAATTATTATTTCAACAGTATCTAGTTAGTACATGGCTCCCTATGATTTTTATCTTAAGTTCATTTTAAAAAATTCTCTACGTATCATCAGACAAAAGTTAACATACCACGATTATGCATTCAGTCTGATAAAGTTCAGCAGTGACTTTTGCTATATGATCATTAAACGTGACAATGACAGCTTTTTATCAGAAGAGACAAGAGAGAAAGAAAAAAAAATCACAAACAACACATGTGCAAAAGACATTTAATTAAGGGAGGTAAATCCTGGAGGTTTCATTCACTTAAGAACCATATCTTGTAAAAGGATCGAGAGATGTGGTGAGCTAGTGCACTCAGATTTTTATTTTAGTCTTATGTACACTCAGATTTTTATTTTAGTCTTATTTCTTACATTGACTGACATTTGAAATATTGTCCATTTTCCCAGAACAGCAATCACTAAACTCGCCATACATCAGCCATTTTTAACAGATGTTCATATAAGACATCCCAGGTGCTTAGCATATTCTGTTCTAAAGGGTAATTTTTGAAATTATTGCAATCAATGAGCTAATAATACTGGTGGTAATAAGACCAAGTTATTACTTATTACCTTTAATCATTGACAGCAATCCAATTGTGTGCAATTAGTGAAATCATTGTAAATAACTTATAGCAGATGGCTGGATGTCAGCTCTGCCGGAATCTTGGATTGAAGCTTGTAGTCTGCAGTGACGATTCCGTATTACACAGAAGCTCCCTTTCAATTTATCCATCAGCCCAACAAATGAAGCAACATTTTGACTGTGCACGGTGTATAATCAGTTAATGGATTTTTCTTTCCCATCGTCCTGGTTTATAAGGGAATTAAACGTATTCTGTTTTAGCCAGACTAAGAATGGCTAATCATCGCTTGAAAATAGAAACACGGTCACATTTAGTGACATGATACATCACTCTCAGCCTTCCCAATAGCCACGATTTACATCTCAGGTGCCTGGGCACATCCGCTAACTATATAGGCACATAATGAAATGACAATACGTTCCGATTGAGGAATATTTTTTTGTATATGTAAATTAAACAAGCCAAGTTGTGACTATTGCTGCGTTGGAAAATGTTTCATGTTTTGCTATTTTAGTCTAAATCGTGCTTTTTGGCTTCAATTAACTACAATTTGGAGTTTGGTGAATGAACCCTTAATTATCACTCTTCCACCTTAATGCCATAAATAAATGTGGCTTGCCTATCTTCTTATTTTGCTACCTACATTATGATAACCATTTCTCCTACTGTGGACTTTCCATCAACCAGATTGATTCCACTCAACGTCTGGGTCTTTTTTGTCTCTGGAGGGAGTCTAGCATACCTTATGAGATTGACTTTGTGGTCCTCAACAGGATGTCTAGATGAGGTCCTGTGTTTTTACAGGATGCACCTGCCTCAGATCTCTCTTCACGTGCTGGCTCATGTTGTTAAAGCCTGATTCAGGGTACTTCAAGACAGGCAAAGTTTGCAGCATCAGTCCCTGATCAATACAATGAAATGTGCACCTACCAGTGGACGCTAGAATGCTTTGACAAAATAATTCATAGTAATACAGAGAGATATGGGACACGGGACATATTAATTC